TTTCTTAAGTAGTGATATTGAAATAAGTCATAATAGTAGAAGATGTAATGGTCTTATGAAGCAAATTTATATAATTTATTAGAAAGACTTGTGATACTAGCTATACAGATCTATTGTAATTGATTCATTGATTGGCTGTAGTAAGAGTTTTATATTATTTGATTATAGCTTCATATGCTTTGTTGTAAAGTTGTTTTATATTGAAAAGTTATATAGCTTGAATGTCTAGTAATAAACTTGTATCAAAATATTAGAAGTTGGTGTTATAAAAATAAAAAACTATGAATTTGTGTTGTCTTGTTAGTATGTTGCCTATTGTTTTAAGGATAAAATAGAAGAAATTAGTTTTTTGTATAAATTGAAAATGTTAGGGTTAAAGTAGCATATGCTAGAGTTGTAAGTAATAAATTCTTAGTGACTTTTATAGGACAATAAGTCTGTATCTAGATTGTGGATGTTAGGAATGTGTTTGAGTTTTATAACAAAATTGCTATACACTTGTATAGTGTAAAGCTGACCAATCAGGTCATTAATTTGGGAATTCTTGCAATATCTGATATAATATATCATGGTATTAGATAGGTTGTTTGTTTATTAAGTTTTCTTTATTGTTATAATAAAGCAAAGATATATGCTATAATTAAAGTAATTAGTAGTTCTTTAACTTAAATATTCATTAAGTTCAGGTTAATGTTGTTTGATCAGAAAAAAGCTGTAAAATAGTTTTAAAATGCAGTCTCTCTATTGATGTTTGATGCATCTATAAAAAGATTGAAAGTAGTTGGTTGTATTTATTTTATGTCTTGTATTAAATGAATATCATGCCATTTTTTGAGTACTGAAATTCATCACTGAAGATCTGATTGCATCAATTTGGTTATTCAAAAATAAAATTTTGAGTTTTTTAAAATCTTTTGAGCTTTAATAAAGCATTGAATAAAGGAATGGTCTTGTAAGATAATCTGATATGCCCAGACCAATAATCTTATTATAGATTGCAATTCTTTCTGATAATACTATTTTTTGTATAGCTGATTTAGATATTGCTATAGCAGAACTAATATTTGTAGTTAGGGCTTAATCATTAAACCACTATGCTCTTTTAAAATTCACTTAGACCCTAGCATCTACTTTACAGTATAATCTTAGTACTTTAGTATACTCCTGCCTTTTTCTTTACTTTTTTACTAAACTTTTAATCCAGATAGCCTATTTAGAACTACAAACAGTCTATTGGTATATTAGATTAGCCCAATATTTTTTTTTTCTAGTTTGTTCTAGCAGTCTAATTGGTAGTATCTTTGAAACTTCCAATCTGGAAATTCTTGCCTGTCTGATTACTACAACTGGATACTAGATCTTGATATTTGTTTCACTAAGCTAGTCTTTACAGTAAAGTAAAGTTTAAGACACAGAGTTATAAAGCATGGCTCTAGAGTATGCCTATAGGCATGCCTCAAGTTTAAAGGGCATGCCCTTGTCATGTGATGTTTAAAGTTATTTTAATTGGCTAATAAGTTTAGATAAACTAGAATCATAGATACTAAATCAACATGTAAGATTTTTAAGAAGTTGTAAACTATGTGTTAATTACATGATTTAAAAAAGACATACCTATAGACATGAGAGGCATACTTTAGCTCAGAAGTATGCCTAATTTTTTTCTCATATTCTAAACCTTACAGTAGAGCTATTGAAGATTCAACTATTTCTTTATTCAAGTTTTCTCAAATAAACTTTTTGTTACTTAATTTTAACAAATTTACATAATCACAAGAATTTATCTAGTATTTATACTGCCTAATTTGTCAATTTGCATTTCTTTGTATAACTCCAACTATGCACAAATGTCTTATAACCTGCCAGCCATGTTGGTATAACTACTATTACAAATATCTTAGCTTAATTGTTAGTAACAATTGCTATAATATGAATATTACATAGGTGATTATTCAAATTTTTGCTATTAATAGGATTTGAATACCCAACTTACCACTTGGAGGTTGACAACCTGACTACTTTACTAGATCACTACACTCTTTATAACAAGTAATTATATAATAAATGAATAAGATTTGTTATATATAAATTAGCTTATAGATATAAAAAATGACAATTTGATTATATAAAAACAACTTAAAAATTTCTAAAAACTGTTATATAAAAAAAAAAAAGCCAAGTAGTTTAATAAAATAAAAAAAAAATGTTAGTAATACAAAAAAATAAAATAATATACAATTATTATAAGACAACTAGTTATATTAAAGATAAAGTAAACAAAAATATCAAAAAACTAAAAGAAGTGAAAATAGATTATATATAGATCAAAACAGAATTAGCAATTCAGTAAAATAATTAAAAAAAAAATAATATTAGTCAAATACTAACTAATATACAAAGAAGAAAAAACCATTTATAAAAATATACAAATGCAAAGATTGTAAATTTAGATCAAAACAAATAACAGACAAATATAAAAGATAAATAAAATGACTATAATATGAAAATAATACTAAAGTTACTAATAGAGAAAAATAATAATAAGATTAATATAATAATAAAACAGATATTAGAAAATAGAATATTAAAGAAATAGAAAAAAAGAAAAAAAAAAATAAGATTGAAGCAGATAGAAATATTAGATATAAAATTAATCAAAAAACAAAGATTAAATAATATAATCATAGATTGCTTAATAGAGATTCTAGCAAGAAATAAGAAAAGAAACAAAGAAAACTATACTTTCTATACAAATAGTACATTTTATAAAAAAAAAAAAAATATAAAAAAATAAGTATTAACTAGATGCAAATAAAAAATAAAAAAGACTGACCAAAAGAAAAAACTATATTAAGACTTAAGAGATGCCTATTAGCAATAATAGCAAAATTGGTAATAATATAGATAGCAATTATTATAGTATCAGAAAGAAAAAATATAAAAGTATATACAAACAATACTGTAATATTAAAAAACATTAATAAAGCAACTTAAAATATAAAAGATGAAAAAATTATAAAAAAAAAAGTAATATAAATAACAAACATTATAGGTCTTATAAAGAATAAAAACATTAAAATAAAAATAATTAAAATTAAAAACCATAATGAAGATAAATAAAATAATAAAATAAAATCTTTTACAAAAAAAAGAGCAAATTATAAAGATATAATATATGTAAAAAAAATTAAATGTGATAAGATTGAGTATTATTTAGAATGAAAAAATAAGAAGATTAATATACCAGTAAGACTTTTTTATAAAATAATAACAAATATCAAAGTTGAAAAAAAATAAATTCAATCAAAATACTAAAACTAAAAATTGAAAATACAATATATGACTGATTAAGTTTTTGAAAAAAAATAAACAGAACAAAAAAAATTCACTATATTTTAAAAAAACTTAGAATAAGAAGAACAACAGCAATTAAATATATAATAAACAGATTACCAATACTTAAAGAACTAAATAAAAAAAGACCAGAAGTATATACAACAATAAAGTGTCAGATATGCTAAAATAAAAAAAGATAAAACTAAGTATACTTAACAAGTTGTAGTAAACAAAAAAGTCTATAAAAACAGATATAAAAAGTAACAACAACAACTATATAGAATAAACTCAAAAAAAAAAAAAAATCTTACCACTAGTATTATACAATACAGTATTTAAAAAAAACTGAAGCAAAAGAAATTGAAAATAAGAAAACATTGATAAAAAAAACTTACTATACTAAAAATAAGAAAAAGATTCAAATAACTACTAAACAAATAAACAACACAAAGATATATAAATATAGTAAGCAAGAACAGTTTAGAACACATTTAACAACCAAGTATAAAAAATTTATTATGAAAAAATACTAGAATGAGAAAAAAAAACCAACATAATAAACAAAATGAAAAAATACTCATGCAAGAAAAAAGTTGAAGAAAAGAAAAGGAAAAGATAAATAAACAAAAAAAAAAAAAACAAAAAAAAATGAATCAAATAAAAAAAGAAACATGAAAGACAATTGATATACTTGTTACTGAAAGAGAAAAACCTTTTTGATATGGTTTTAAATAGTTAGACAAGCAGACTATTTCTAACAAAAATAGTGTGACAAATTGCACTTAGGTACCATAGAAGTGGCTGAATGATGCTAGACTTAAACATTGGGAAATTCTATGTAATTGTATATGTATATAGTTTCAAGAATCTTAATAAAGTACTAGCATAACTGCTTAAGGTTTTTTTAAAAAAAAAATCTAAAATCAAAAAAGTTCTTGCTAAGTCAACTCAAAAACTAACCCTAGATTGTCAATTGAACGATCGGTTATACAATGAGTAAGGACGAATTCGGAAACAATTTTTCAGGAAAACGGCCTGTAGAACAATATTCTGTACACTTAATTATAGATTCAAAGTAAGTTTTGTAAAATCTCACGTAATAAATTTTAAACAAATAATTTTCAATCATGATTGGTTAATTTTGTGGTCAAACCAAATCGGTGAGTATGGATATGTTCAACATAAATTCCGCAACTTCAGAGTTATGATTATTTGTTTATTAATGACTTTGAATTTTCCGGAAGAAACTAAGAAAGACAATCATATAATTTAAGGATGATTCCTATACGAAAAAGATTAACATTAAAGCCATCAGGTTTAAGTCATACATGAGAGATTTATGGAGTGTATAATTACAGTGCTAGAAGTTAAGACATGTAAAGCAAATCCTCAAGCAAAATTTGATTTTTCATGGAATGCGAACGTTGAATCATGCACATTAGAAGTAGGACCATAACATTACTCAACCAATTGAGAATTAAGCAGAATCGTTGTTAATAAATAGCATTAAAAAAAAAAAGACAAAAAAAAAAGCAATGATAATAATACAAAAAAGCATAAATACAAAAGATGTGTTGTGGAATTGGATGTTACAAAAAATTGATTTCAAATAACGTGTATAAAATTCATATACAATAACACGGTTTCACGAGTTTTGACCGATATTAATCATACATTCCGGATTTTTGCGGCATATCTTCTTCAGTTTCCCATCTCACTTGTTCAAATACTTCAGGGATTCTTTGGTGCCTTAATCGTTGCCGAGGAAAACGCCCCCTATCATTGGCAACATTAATGCTAGGAAGACGAAAAGATGTTGAAGTTACTCGTTCATTATTCTCGTCCCTTCGCAAGCAGGAGTCTTTCTCTTTGTCATTGTTCCATTGCCAATATGGCTTCATCCCTCTACGTCTCTCTGGTTGGTTAAGTATTGATCTATCTCGTCGACAGAAAAGTGATGCAGATGAGGAAGATCCAACGCTGTCCTTTTGAGATATGATATTTTCAATGACTATTTCTATATCACCATTATGTTGCCAAAGAAGGCTGAGATTTTGCTCCCTATCCGTAAAACCCATCTCATGAAGATATTCTAATTCTCCAGAATAGCGATCGAAAGTAGAATTTGAATCCTGACTCTCATTATTTGTCAATGGAAAACTACCAGGAAAAGGTGGGAGAGAAGTGACCGGCTTTGGCAAAGTAAGCTGAGGGTTGAGAGGTGGTGGTGGGAGACTAAACAATGGAGGAGGAGGAGGAGGGCCTAGCGGTGTAGGAGGTGGTGGCGGTACATGAGGAGGTGGTGGAGGTGGCGGCGGGAGCGATATATCGTCGGCAAATCGAGATTGACGATTTAGGCCCGCGTTAAAACGAGACCTCTGCAATGTATGTGATGCTGGAATGATCGGATGGTGATTTCCGGGTAAAAATTGGAATATAGGTGTAGAATTATTAGGAAAGCTACCGGGCATGTCGGAAGGATTCCCATCTTGGTCATGTTGAGAAGTTGAAGCATCGTTTGAAGAATTAGTGCTAGCAACTTGATTCTTTACTGACTTTAGCATATTCAATACAAATTCGATATACATTGGGGTATTTTCCAAAACCTGTTAAACATAAACCAAATGTAAGAATAGTTACCAGAAAAAAAAATTGACATTTAAAATTAATCTTACGTCATCTAATACCGAATTCGCTGTGGCGAGCATCTCTGGATTGTCGGTAATAACTTTATGGCATTTTTGAATGACCTGTTCGACCTTAGTCGAAAATTCTTTAAATGATAGATCTTGATCCTGTTGTTTTTGTTGATTGGATTTCTGCTTAAGATATTCATGACAAGCGACCGGTTCATGTAGTTCTTGACGTTGCCCTGGTTCTCGTTGTTCCAATGACGGGTGTAACAAACTGGCAACGTCAAGGAAATCATGAGTTGTCTCGGATTCAACTTCATCGTGATTCGATGTCTCACTCATTTCTTCATCCTTCTTATCTATCGTGACAACCAGTTCATTTTGAAATGTAAGTTGACTATCTCCAGATTCCATATCAAACTCTTCAATCTCGTCGTCATCTTTTTCATTTTCCTGCTGCACTAAGACAGGTTCTTCACTAATAGTATCAGCCGAACTCTCTGAACTAATTTCCCAGTCGATATTTGATTGCTCGATTTCGTCTTGAGGCAAGGTTAGTAAGAATTTTACGCGAGCACCTGAACGAAGAACTTGTTCAAACTCGAGGTCGGAGTTGAGTGTTATCAAGTCACCGTCCTCATCCCGGTATCGCAAAAGAAATGGTGTTCCGGAAGGGACAGAGAATATAGTACGAATCTAAGGTAAAAATGGAAAAGTCTATTGAGTTATTACGCTGCGTAAGAAAGTTACAAGAGGTTTAAGCGCTTTTTAGTTACCTGCTCTTCTAGTTTAGTCCATTGAATAGACAGAGGTACGGTGAGCTTGCGCACTGAATTAAGATGCGTAATTTTAAGGCTCGCGGTCGACATTATTTTAAATTTTACGCAGCTAAGAACTTCACAAAGTAAGCAAAGTACGACCGGCCTTTAAACTAGAATGTGCACACAAATGATAAAAAAAAAAGAATGCTAGTACGTAACGAATCAAAAAGTATGTACAAGTAATTCGAAGAAGTAAATGATAAATTTTAGAAAACGTTGAATTTCCGAGCGGAGCACACCCTCCGATTAATTGACGTAAGTATGTACATTCATACGTACGTACTGGTACATGCATGCGTGCGCACCCCCTGTATAAAATTTAGTTCTCATAAAAAGGGGGTCGATTATGACGATAACGATAACGTGATCGATTTAAGGGTCACTCAGAAAACCCGGTAGGCTTTCTCATTTTTCGGAAAAAGCATGGCATAGGTAAAGTTCGTTATGATTGATTGTTTATTTAGATATATATTGTTTATAATAGAACTCTCAACTTGGAAGTGAGAAAAGTTCTTTTTTATAATTAATATGGCTTAAAATTTTGTCAGATTTTACTTTAAAAACTTAACCTTCATATTCGCGTTTGACATCTAGTTGGATCCAACTTGTCTTAAGAGAAATTCTGTCAATATCTGCATGTAACATAAAGTTAGTATATATTTGCTTTTGTTTTTTTGTTTTTTTTTTGGTATTAATATAAGGATTTGCTTATATCTTTATTAATTTTATTTTATTTTTTTTGTATTAAAAGTTATACTTTGTAGTAGAACTTTATTGACATTATTGAAGTTAATTATTACAACTATTTTATACAAAGATGAGAGTACAACTAGTCATGCATGCACTCAAGAAATCTGTGCCAGGTTTTGTCGATCATTGCTCTGATCCACAAATCAGATCTCAAGAATCAGGTGTAACGTAACACGATCAGGAAATTTCAAAACAAACGTTCGTTTGGTTAAAAATCATCTATTTCTCAAAAACCAGTATAAAAAACCACTTTTAGTGCTATAACAAAAAAGTTTTCTTAAGTGATTTTACTATATAACTATTTAACCTCCAACTTTATACTAAGCACTAATTCTAACGTTAATGAATTTTAAGAATTTTTACTATATTACAGTGATCGACAAAACCTAGCACAGATTTTTTGAGTGCATGTATAATTAATAAGAACCAAATATAGAAATAATTAAGTTGTGTAAATGGATTTCTATTTATAGATAGGTTCCAGAAAATTTGTGTGTAAATTAATAAAATATGGATTAGGAAATGATAGTATGGTTATACAAAAAACGTGTAAGGAAGAAAGGGGGCAGGTAGGAACAAAAATAGAAAAAAGAAAAAGTTTTATAAGAGAGTAAAAGAGAAATTTTGGTGTAATTTGGCCAATATTAGATCAAAATTCTTCGTTTAGAGCTTGTTTTGACCAGGCAAATATGTATTACAACTTTAATTAAGAATAAAAGATATGTTATTACAGTAGAAATTGTGGAAAAAAATTAATTATTAAAACTGGGGCCAAAAGCCGTCAGTACAGTTTTCTCAATGAGTTTAAAAACTAAAAGTATGATATTTGCAGAATATATGTAAAATTTAGAGCTAAACAAGTTTATTTAAGACACCAGGATAGGTTGTCTTAGTAAAATAAATAGTTATAAGCGTTTTTTGATGAACAAATTTTTTAGTTAATTTTTGTGTAATGGATTTGCAGAAAGAGTTTATTGATTAAAAAAAAATGACAAAGACAAATAACAAAATTCACTAAGTTTTTTAAAATCATACAAATTAGATATAATAATGCTCCAGAAAACTAATCTTAATAATAAAAAAAATACAAGAATTCCTTAAATAATAATGAATTTACAATTTGATTTAAACTAAAAAAAAACAGCAAATCTAGCAGAAAGCAAAAATATTGAATTTAAAAACACTTAAATAAGTCATAAAAAAAGAATAATAACAACAGACTTTGTATTTAAAAGATATTCTTTCAAAATAACAAATATCTATACATTACTAAATATTAGTAACAAAATAATTTTTTTTAATGATTGAAAACCTCAAATTTAAAAAAATAATATAAACATTATAGCAATAGACTTTAATATTAATCTTAATACTAAAGATAACAGAATTAGTTATATAACAGTCTAACATAACTTGACTAGAACTTAGCTTTCTAATTAACAAAAAAATTTATTTATATAACAGAGATGTTAAGCACTAAGCATTTTCCAACTTTTTTTTAAAAAATACAAAATAACTACTTAATAGCTACATGTTTAAACTATATCTTTATAGATAAAAATTATAATCATTTTATATCAAAAGTTAGTACACATTTCAGTAATTCAGACTACCTTCTAGTAAGGTGCATACTTGAGTTTAAACAAGATTTTAAAACAGCTTTTAGCCTAGAAATTTAATAAAGAATTTTTTAAAAATAAATTGCTAAAAAAAGAAGTTCCAAAGAAAATTCAGAATGCTAACTTAGCAGAAAACTAAAATTTATATAAAATTTATATTGTTATAGATAAAAGCCTTCTTAATTTCATATTATAATGATAACATGGCATAGGGAATCCTTTATGGATATATGTGATGTCTAAGAGAAAAGTATAGCTTTTGTTTAACATTGTCAAGAAACTATATTCTTCTCTGAGGCAGTTCAGGAAAGGTAATGCAATACTAATAACTTTACTTTATTTTACTAAGAGGAAATAAACCTTGCCTATAGGAATTACTCTAAAGGAGAAGTATCAATACAGTTTGTAGTCAAAAGCTTTTTATTAAAGTAATAACAAGAAGAGCTATTCTTAGGTTTCTGTTTCTAAAGAATTTCAAGATGTATTTATAATATTAAAAAGAAGAAAAGTGTCTGTTGCTTAATCACACTTGGAGAATTTAGCAGAGTTTATATATCTGTTAGCTAAGTAACTAAGTGGCCAAACAACTAAGTGATTAAGCAACTAAGCAACTAAGCATTAAGTAACTAAGTGACTAAGTGACTAATTGATTACTAAGTAACCAGAAAGTTTTAACAACTAATGACTAATAATTACTAAGCAACTAATTATTAAGCAACTAAGTAGCTAAGTGACTAAGCAACAAAGTGATTACTAATTAACTAAAAAGTTCTAGCAACTACTAGTAATAATAATAATAATACAATAATAGAATAACTAATGCTAAATAATAATAATAATAAAATAATAATAATAACTAATAATAATAAAATAATAATAATTCATTCTATAATATTTCTGTCTTCTTTAAAAATTTAAATCGTAAATTCTATGTTCTAATTGATTCAAGAAGTTGGATATACTTATCATCTAACAACTTGATAATATGTGTTGCAGTCATATATTTCAACTGCAAGATTATTTCTTTTGGTTACAACTTGAGGACTTCATATATTCTAAAAGCACCTTTCTAAGTATCTTTTGCTTTTTTGTTACTTAAGCATTCTGGATAAGGTTTTTAATCTCTGAAGAATTGATAAACTTCAAGATTATTTTTTTCAAGTAGTAGTAAGCTTCAATTTTCTTGTTGAGGTTATGTCAAGTATATTCTGGAATGGATAAGAACTTTAAAATTTGATTAACTTGTTCTTTTCATGTTCTTTCAGAAAAAGGGTTGGTTATACTTCAAGTTGTTGGTACTGGTGTCTGTTTCAAATCATTTATTATTTGAGTTATATGATTAGTATTATTACTCTCTAACTATATAAGTTCTTTGTTAAGTGAAGTTTTGATTAGTGGAAGTTGTATTTCTTCTAATTGTAGAAATTCATCAATATTGGATTCTACAGAAGCTTCAATTATAGGATTTAAGTTGATAACTTTTTTTAGTTCTTTATTGCTTCAAAGAATAATATTTTGAAATGATATATCTAAATAGTTTTGAGATGTGGGGTTCTGTTTCAGATTTGAAGAAAGTTGTTTAAAGTAATTATTGTTTCTGATTATAATTTTAAGAATTTTATTTTTAGGAAAATTTGTATAATTCAAGGGTATTTATATAAATTTCCAAGTATCACAATCTTCAAATAAATTGTAACATTAAAAAATTTGTATAATATTATTAGCTTTTCTTCCAGTTTTAGAAATTTCTTTCAGAAATTCTAATTATTCAATAAGAACAAAAGGTTTTCAAGTTTGTTTTTCATAGTATTTAACAAAACAATTATTATTATAGTACTTTTGCAATATATTTTTTCTTTGTTGTTACCAAGTTTATAGGCATCATTGTTCAATTTTTCTTAAATAATAAAGGGTTCAGTTCTTTTATCTTTGAATTTAGCAGATCGAAAAAGTTTTATGTCTTTTCTAATTATTCATATTTTGTCACTAATTTTAAATATTTTGTGATAGATTTTGGCATCAAAATATTCTTTCTGTTTCTGTTGTAATTCATTGGTCTTTCTCTTGCATCATTCTGCAATTCAGATAGCTTGTTAATAAGCTCAAATGCTTGGTGCAATATGCTATTTTGTAAGTTGTATTCTGTTTCTTTATGGGGTTTAACAGGTAGTAAAGCTTCAATTAGAAGAATAGCTTGTTGTCTATATACAAGCTGAAAGTAAATATATCTGGTTATAGCATGCTTCTTTGTTTGATAAGCAAGTAATATAGCAGGTATATATAAGTTTCAGTCATTATTTTCTTTTAGTGAATGATTCTTATAAAGTTCAATTAAGATGTTCAATTATTTTATTTATTTGTAGATAATATGATGAAGAGAACTTATGTTTGATAAGAAACTTTTCATATAGAATGCAAACAGTTTTACTAATAAAATTTCTTTCTTGATCAGAGAGAATAATCTTTAATGTTCTATGTTGACAAATAATTTTTTTAAAAATAAACTGAGCTAAAGTATTTGCTTTAGCATCAGGTACAGCATGGGCTTTTGGCCATCTTGTTAAATAGTCAGTAGCAACAATAATATATTGATTATTTTGCTTAGTAATTGGTAGAGGTCCTACTAAGTCAATTTTAATTCATTCGAAGGCTCATCCTATTTGGATAGGTTGAAGTGGT